TGGGGAGCAGAGTAAATAGTTACATAAATAAACGCGACGCGGGTGCAATCTGTGATTGGCGCCTTCCTCTTGCGTCCTACCTCCCGCTTTGTGCTCGCTGCTTGCTCGGTGCTTGTTCGATGGATCCGCGCAGCTACGCGCCCACGTGTGGCTTTGCGCGTGTTTCCGATCGTTTGTTTACTCTGGAGCTGTGGGAATTGCTTTGGTCAGCCGCAACTTCAAGTTAAAGTCAGCCACCAAGCAAGTAACACTTCTTCTCTCTCCACCACCACCACCCACCATGATCTTTCATATTCAAGCTCTCCTCTCTTGTTTGATTTCCGTAGCGTCTCGCGTCGACAGTACACGTTGCCGTGCACTCGCTCGCATCGACAGGGCGGTCGAGCACACCGTCGTCCTGGTCATCGGTCTCGTGAAGTCAAAATCTAATCGTGCCCTCTCGCCTGCTCCTATCGCCCCTGCTCCTCCCCCTCCACCTCCGACCCGAACTCTTCCGATCTGGCTGCCCCCGACAGCAACATTCCCTGGCTCGTACAAGCCGCCCGTCACCCAGGGTCTCGTCGTCGTTCTCTTGGGCACCATCACCGTATTGCTCTTATTTTCTGCCCTGGTCAAGATGGGCAATGCGATCTCCTCGAAGACGTCAAGGTGTTTCCCCAGCGCTGCGAAACGTGCGCCCTTGTCAATGCCCAAACATCAACACCCTCCAAGCGCAAATTACGATGTACCTGCAATGCTCCGTACGGCGCTTCCCGGGCCCGAGGCTCTCGTCAATACAGCAGCCCCCCATCACACGAACCCAAGTTTCTGGGGCTCGTACCAGTGGAAGCCCATCAAAGTGCACGGTTTCATCACTCACATACGCCCTTCCGATCTTCAATGGGTACGCAAACTCGGAGAGGGCGGGCAGGGAGAGGTCGGCAAAGTTCTGTTCGGCGGTGTCGCTCTGGCCGTCAAACGTATCAAGAAACACAGGCAAGTTCTTCCTGAGAGCGGCATTCCCGGAAGGGTCGTCAAGTACTCCGCTGGCCTCTGGCGGTCCTGCTGCACGGAGATTCGGGTGCATCTTCTGATGGGGGACCACCCCGCGTTCCCGCGCCTTTATGGGGTGTTCCATGGACGGAACCACTTCTACCTCGCAATGGTATTTCCTTCACTCCTTGTCCCAGCTGTTTCTAATCACAGTTTCATATCAAGGACTGCGGCGTGAAGTCGTTCCGGCACGCCAAGATAACCTCGCGGGCCAAGGCGCTGTGGTATTTCAGGCAGCTGGTGTGTATTCTCTTTGAAACCGTTCGCGCCGGCAACAACTCACGTATTGTAGGTCACCGGAGTCCAGGATCTACACCGGCGGGGCATAGTACACCTTGATCTGAAGCCCGACAACTTGGTTCTGAAGTCGGATGGTGAAATAGCTATCATTGACTTTGGACTAGCCATCATCCCCTCCCAGAATCCGTCCAAAATGCGTTACCCCTTGTGGCATGCCCTTCGTGAAGAGGGTTCCCGCTGCTTCCCTATGCTTTGGGCGGGCCGCGATAACCCACATTCCTTCATGGCTTCCGGTGGAACGCCCGGTTACTGGTCCCCACTGGTCGAGCTTGGACAACTGTGTTCCTACGGGGCGGATCTGTGGGCGGTTGGGGTGATACTTCACAAATGTTTGACAGGACGGGTAAGCAGCTCCGTGCATCGTTCCTACTTGACGCTGAGGTAAATGCCGGTTTAGCGTCCCAAGACGTACATGGATACCGGCGGTACGTTGGTCTGGGAGCCCGACCCGCAGCATCAGCTGTCGCTTGTGCATCGTGATTTTATTCATCGGGTATTGCGCCTGCACCTTCCACTCGCGTTCAAGTCTCATTTTTGAATCGCAGCTTCTATCCTACAAGAAGCCGGACCGATTTGAATCATACGCAGAACTCGAGGCCCACGCAATCTGGGATGAAGTCTGATTTCTCCGTCCATCGGTTAGGACGTTTGTCGTCGTTGGCGGTTTGTGCAGCGGGATCGATGTGGGATGGTTCGAGCTGTATAGATGTAGGTCCGGCGTAACCGGACGACGGCTTGAGCTGCTTCTCTTGCCTGAGGTCCTACCCTCCCCCGATTCTCCATCGCCCCAGCATCTTGACCTCGCCACTCCTCCGCACCCCGACACGGCTGCGTCCTCGCTCGATTATACCCCCTTTTGCTCCTCGACATTGACCTTGGCCCCTTATACCCGTATGTGTTCGTGTCCTCTCTCTCCAACCCTGGCTAACCTCATTTCTTCAGTGATATTTCAGCTTTCCTCCGGTATGAGAATCGGGAGAGCAATGCGACGGACGAAGCGAAGCTGCGGCCAGTAGAAGGGGTCAAGGCGGCGGCGACTGCGGGTGCCATAAATGTACGGATGATTCGGGACGGAGGGCCACGCGCGGAGTGTCTGGTGCGGACTGAGGATCGACGGGGACGCCCTTCGTTACTCGCCACCCGACAACTTCCTCACCTCTCGTGCCGATGGTTCTAACATAAACTGGTGCTCAACGTCGACGTGTACGTATTTCCTCTTCCACTCACGCTGTTGTTGTCTGACCCTCGTGTTTCTCCAGCGCTGGCGTCCCTTGGGCTCTTAGCTGGCCCTCGTCCTCCGCTTACGACCCAACCACCGGAGGGGCTTTTTTTTCTTTTTCTTTTTCCTCCTGACGTGTCTGTCTATATGTGTATACGCTTCATGTTTGTGGTCGGGATCTGTCCAATTGATTGTATTCGGATTTTCGTCGCCCGTCCTGTATGTTCCCGTTTGCACTAAGTACCAAAGTGCAGGCGAAGCCAATTTCCCATGTAGTTCCGCGCCGGTCAAAGTTGAGGAAAGAGGTGTCCGAAAAGAGGTGTCCGAATTGAGATGACTGTCCCTCTTCATGAACCACATCCCGACATTCGACGACCTCCGCGTAAGTCGCACGGCGGCACGACTAGAAGATACGGCTTAACCTCTAGCTAGGTTAAATCCTGCTTCATCTGTCTGGAAGAGGAGCACGCGCCTGGCAGGTTCACGATTTCCCAACTTTTTCTCAGACTCTGATATTCCACCAGCGCCAAAGAGGGCTAATGTCTGGGTCCATCCTTGTCCGAATTGTGCCCTGGTCGCGCACGACAAGTGTCTCATCAGGTGGATAGGCTCTCTTCCCTTGAAACGGAAACGTTCGAAGAGAGACGCCGCTTTCACCATCTTCGTGCTTGATACCTTCAAGTGTCCGCAATGCAAGCGTCCGTATGAATTGGCAAATCCGCGCCCACAACCACTACTCGCGGTGGGTATGGTATACGATACAATCTACGTGTTCTTATCTGAACTGGTGGACATCGCCTGTTCCGTGGTGGGCATCGCTACTCTCCAAACTATCCCCATCACGCTTTCCCTGCAAAGCCGAATAGTTGTGTTCTCAGGTGCGGAACATGATTTAGGACCTGTGCAGTCACTAACCATTCTGCAGGGATGCTCATTTACGAGGTCGCATTTCTGGAATATTATTTGGGTCCACAGTGCGTTTTTTTTTTGGCTACGAACTGAAAGCGATCCTCAACGTCGACGCAGTATGTTCAGCCTCCTGTTATCCAGCGACTTCCTTCGATCGCTCTTCATCGTCGTTCCTACCATTCCTTTCCGGCTTCTGCTTCCCGGCACTCTACCCAAATGGATAATACCGCTTTACCTGAGCTTCCCGCCTATTCTACACGGAATGATCCAGCTGGGTACCGTTGCGCCGCTGGACAGCCTTCCTGTGGATTCTGGCGCGTCCCGTCGCATGATATCGACTTGGCCGCCGTCTCCAGCATTGCTGGGTCTCGTCGTTGTGCCTCTCTTACGCCCGGTCTATAACCACCTGTTTTCTCGGTTAAGCACCTGGGTCCTCGGATCGCCCCAACCTCGCCGCCCAAAGCGCTATCTAATCGATAGAGTGGGGGGCTTGTTCGTTTTCCACACTCGCCGTCCTCCGTCTCCAACTCTCAATGTGCAAGATGAAGTCCCGGCCCCGGTCGTTATCGCGGACCAAATCATCCAAAAGGACCAGTCGTCTCTAACGCACGATCTTGTGCACGCCATCGTGTCCGTCGGTTTCCCGCGGGTCTTCGGGAACCTGCTCCTCAGGACTTCTGGGCACTCCTCCTATCTGCGGCGCTTCCTGGGCCTGCGGCCTCCATTGACACTGACCAGCGGCGTACACTCGTATTACCCCAATTGGATGACGATGACCCTACGCCAACGAGCCTTGGCCGTGTCCCAAGCCGTTGGTGGCCTTCTTTTAGGAGGTTCGTGGATTTGGGCAGACGTCGATCCCGTGTGGTATGCCAATCTCTATTCGGTTTTCTCCCGCTAACTTCTTTGTCAGGTGGAGGAACTCCCTCGGCTATGGGATATTCATTCTAGTAAACGGGTCACTATGTTTCCCCCGAGTTGCGCTACTAATCGACCATTCCCCAGGCAAAGGATTGCTTCGATCTCTACCGGCTGTGGCTTCAAAAACAAGAAGTACAAAGCCGGACTATCAAGAGTCGGGATTTTGCGGGCGTGGATATTGGGGAGCTGGAACTGATTGCACCGGAGAGGTTTACGCCCTGACGATTTTGTCGATGCGGTTCTTCGCGACATTCACACTCATGCACAGCCACTGTCCGATGGTGTAGTTGGCTATCACTTCGCTCAATGGTTTTTTGCTTTTTTGGTTTGCTTTAATTCGATTTGCTTCAATGGAATGAATCGTTGTGCATCATGAGCCTCCCGTCCCTCACTTCATCCTGATGCCTGTTTCCCTATGCACACGCGCCGGCCCTGAGCTTTGGACTTACTTTTGGTCAAACGGAGGGCGTGCATGTCGCATTCTCCAACTCCGTCTAGCACCCCTGCAACGTCTAATCTCTACATCCCTCTCAAAGGCTTGAAGACAACTTCTGCCAAGTGTTCTTTCTTTTCCAAGTGCAATCCGTGACACATACATTACTTTACCTTGACTCTCATCGGTCCGATGGTGTAGTTGGTTATCACTTCTGTCTAACACGTGACGCAAGGTCACATGGTATCACAGGCGGTCCTCAGTTCGAACCTGGGTCGGATCATTTTTGCTCTCTTTTCTGCGCTTTTACGACTTGATTAAATTTCTCTTTTTAAAAGGCAATTGCTGAGCGCTGACTGCTTTGGCTGACATTTTTTTTTTTTTTTTTTTCCAGTGATACTCTCCTGCTAGCGGCATTCACTGCCTAATTTCACCTACCCGGTTGCAAAGTTCCATCTCAGTTCCTTCCCGGTGTGTCCTTGGGCCCGCACTCGGTAACCGCACACCAACCATGTTCAGTATCCAACGGGAATCACCACCACTTGACATCGTCGTGTTCCTATCCACAAACTCACATACTGGTTCCTCACTCTGATTTTTGATGCCAGCGTGCATGGATACATACTCCATCGATTCAGCGCGGGCCGCCAAAAATGCAACCATCTCTCACCGGGCAAATCAAACTACTGCGGCACCTGGTTCAACTCCGCCGCAAGCTTCTTGAACTCGATAACTGAGGACTGGAGCAACAAACAATTCCACATAGCGACGGCTTCAACAAATCGCATAAAAGGCCAGCAAATTCTACATTCAACCTAGGTTCAACCAGTCCAATTTTTCTTTAATCCTTACCCAACACATCCATATTCTTTGCAATTCAACATGCGCTTCGCCTTCATCAGCACAATTGTCGTCCTTTTTGCAGCATTCGCTGCTGGATCTAGCATCCAAGCTAGGTGCTTCCCTGACAGCTGTGTAAGTGGTGGTCTTTATTTCTGGCGCGTCCTGGAAACTAACGACTCTTCGTAGGTCTGTAACGAAGATGGTTGCAGCGCTGGGCCCGCGTGCTGCGCAGTAAGTGCTTTTATAATTTAATCCAAGCTCTTGTGTTGATCACTGGACAGAACGGGAGCTGCCCCTGCTGAAGAATGGTTTCTGGGAGGCCGATGGAAATAAATGGGAGTTGTAGAGTGCTGGCTACACTCACTAGCAGTCCTCGAGTTTAAATTTTGAATTGTAACTTGTTGATCTTGAAACATATTTGAACTCTTTCGTTGAGCAATTCTCTTCACCCCCTTAGTGAAAAATAAAATGAGAAAGAAAAATTGAATATGGGTTATACAATGGCGGAACTTCCGGAACTAGCACCGCCATAGTTGATCTTGTCATCTTCCATAATGTTGTCCCGCCTTCGCTGGGTTTATCGTCTCTCTCGGACCCGCGGGTCCGGAGCTCTTGCCCCGATTTCTTCTCGAGGATTGAAAACCAGAACTCTTCCCAAGTACAACATCCCTAAAGTAGTGCTTAGTCCTGGCCAAAACCTGGGTGTTCTTGCGGTTCTTCTTGCCACGACCATGTGCGGAGCTGTTGGTGGATACAGTATCGCACAATCTACTGCCGTCCCGCGAACCACAATTACGGCAAATCCACGACTGGAGTACGGGACCGCAGAGGATTTCAAACTCGCTATAAAGGAACTGAAGGATACTCTCGGCCATGACGGAGCTGTATCAACTGATCAGGTCGACCTGATTGCTCACGGCCAATCGCCATATCATCACCATGACGGTATTCAACTCTACCCACTCCACTGGACGATTATTTCTCTAAAATGGGTGCTTAGGCCAGAACCATAGCGTTGTTGTTTATCCACAAAGCACCGAAGATGTCGTCAAGATTGTTAAAATTGCCCATAAATTCAGAATGCCCGTAGTGGTGGGTCCTCCTCTTGGGTAGAGCCTCGGCCTTCTATCTTACATATACTTCCAGCCATATTCCGGAGCCTCTAGCTTAGAGGGCCAAGTCGGCGGCGTTTGTCGTCTCAATTATAACCTAGACCTTTTCCCCTGAATCGATTGCCGCAGCTTCCGGGAGGTGGTATCTGCGTCGACATGTCGAACATGGACGCGATTCTCGAAATTCATGGTCTGTTTGTTTACTTACGATGTGTTCGAAAGAGTGACAAGGTATCTAGAGGCCGACGCTGACCTTGTGTGTCAGCCTGGCGTGGGTTGGATGGCCATCAACGAGGCGCTACGCAGTAAAGGTGAGAGTCGATCTTTGATCACGTTCGCCTTGTATAAACTTTAGTCAGGAATACCTTTATTCTTTCCCGTACGACTCGTCCTTAATTCGCCTGTCGACTCTCGAGTGATGGTGTTCATTCTGTAGATCGACCCCGGACCATCGGCAACAATAGGCGGAATGATCAGTACTGGTTGCTCGGGAAGTGAGATGCAATTGTGCGTCTGCGTATGAGCTTGCACTCAATGATATTATAGCCAACGCTGTTAAATATGGAACTGCCAAGGGGGAATGGTTCCTCAATATGGTGACCATAGTCTTGTGGATTGACGTGCTCGTCCTAACTCAACCAGACCGTGGTTCTCCCCTCAGGCGAGGTAATCAAGACACGCCGCCGAGCCAGAAAGTCGTCAGCGGGATTCGATCTGACGAAATTATTCATCGGGGCAGAGGTACTTTTTGCGTATTTCACTTGGCAAGTTGCTTAGTGCTCAAAGTGCGTGTGGATAGGGAACACTTGGAATAATCACAGAAGGTACAGTGAAACTGATATTAACAGTCGACATGATGACCAAGCCTGTTGAAGTAACAATCCGGTTGGCGCCTGTTCTCCCCACGACGGTCGCAACTGTACAGTTCCCCAACGTCAGCTCAGCGGCCGAGGCAGTGCGACAGTCCATTGATGTCGCAGGCGTCGGCGCAAGCGTCCGTAAGTACTGGTACTGATTACCTGCGCTCTTCACCCATGCAGCCTCTAGAATGCGTCGAACTGGTTGATGACAACTTCATGGCAGCGTTGAATAACTTTGGTATAATATTTCCGTCGCCCCTTGGCACATGTACTGAAATTTTCTAGGCTCGTCGAAGCGAAAGTACCTAGAGAAAGATGGTCTCTTCTTCAAATTTCAAGGTCACTCTCAAGCCGCCATGAAGGAGGTCGCCAAGATCGTGAAAACTGTCTGCGAGAAAAATGGAGGGACCGGTTTTAAACTAGCTAGTGGACCAGAAGAAGCAGAAGCCATGTGGTCTGACCGGAAGAACGCGCTGAACGTTGGGCTCTCCATCGTGCCTGGTGCGAAAGCCTGGTCCACAGATGTTTGGTAGGATATCCTGGGATCTGTTGTGCAAGTTTGACGCAATTTTAGTGTTCCGGTTTCGAAGCTCCCAGAACTGGTATACGAGACAAAGAAGGACATCGTTGCGGCAGGAATGGCCTCCATCATAGTCGGCCATGCAGGAGATGGGAATTTTCATGCTCTCCTGCTGTACACGTCAGAGGACGAATTGGATGTGGCAAAAATTGTGGTCGATCGATTAGTTAAATGGGCGCTTGCGTTAGATGGAACCTGTAGGCTTGCTTCCTTTTTTTGTTTTCAAACTTCTGATGAACTTGTACTGTAGGCACCGGAGAGCATGGCGTGGGTATCGGCAAGAAGAAATACCTGGTTGAAGAGCTGGGACCTGGTACAGTTGAATTGATGAAACAAATAAAGAGGTCAATCGATCCCCTTGGCCTATTTAATCCTGGAAAGGTAGGCTCCGAACTGTCGCTCTGACGTGGTGCATTTACTTACTATGCCCCCACAGCTCTACCCCGACTAACAATATAAATTTTGATGTTCAGTAATTGCCTGCTTTGTGAACTGAGATGGACGAAGGCGCTCTTCATCCGAAGCAACCGCGCAAGAAGTTCAACGCGCATTTGGCACGTTGCAGCGTATAAAAAGTTTGCGCGTAGTTTCATCGATTCTCTCATCGACCACCATAGCAATGGCGTACAAGCCTCCGCACTTGGGTCAAAGAGCAAATGACATGCGCACAAAGTTCACCAGGCGCGAGATTAGTGACAAGCTTTATATCTCGAACGGCTGCAGTGGCTCCCTCGCCGTCTCTTTAGATGATACCTCTTTGGCAGCCATTTTCGTCAACCGGCAACATCTCTATACTTCCTCGCCCTCGCAGATCTTCTACAAATCTAAACTTGCGTCTATCGAGAATAACGACGACCATCGTCGCGAATATCCGGCTTTTCGCACAGATGATTTTGGCGCGACGTTCCAGTTCGATGAATGGGTCCGGACTCGCGAGATCCAGTTCTTGGAACCCCACAGCGAAGAGGTGCAGAGGATGTTGAGCATTCGGTGGAAGGGAACCTCGGAAAGGACGGAGGAGATGTGGGAGGATAGTTTCAGGCGGAGATGGGCAGTCGTGACGTCGGAGAAGATGGTCGGGAGGAACGATAACCCCATGCATCAGTACGGAGGACGCAGAATATGATTTTTGTCTCACATCAATGCCGTAGTTTTTTATGCCTCGTTGAATTTATCAAGCGTAAAAATCACAAGTACGAAAAATAAAAGATAAGTGATATTCCTATTCAACACTAGCACATATCCGCGGATCCCACGAATACCCTTCGAAAAATGCAGGTTGAACCAAAGTTTGAACCAGAATTTACATAATTACGGTAGTCGAAATTACAGCAAGCACAAATGAACCGGTATTGGGAGACTTGGGCTCATTCTTGTCTCGTTCCCAGTAACGACGTGGAGAAACCACAGCAATGAAGTTACAATGAACAGACATCGGCACCAAGTCGGCATGCCAGGCGGAGTCTGAGTCACGGTGATCCGAGTTCGAGCCTGATCAAACCGATGTTTCACTTCTCTAACCTTCACCTCCAACTCTCTTTAAGGTGCTACATACGCGGCGCTGTCATCGCCTCTCGTAAATTCCCAAACTGCGATGTCGGATGGCGGTGAGGCCCAGCTGCAGGCTGGAACATTGAGATCGTAGTAGCGGGCCGGAGACTCGTCGGACCAGGACCTCGCCGGTAATTCTAGTAGATCTCCTTTGCTCTGCGAGCGTCGTCAAAGCGTCGCGGCAAGCTTTGCGAACGTCTTCAGGCCGAATTCAAGTGCTCCTCCTTGATGGTAGTGACCAAGGCATTTCTTTCGCATCCACCCGCCGTCTCATCTCACATATGTCCCTCATTGGTGTCCGCGGCCTTCCTTTTGCCTCCCAGAATTTCGGGAGGCA